AAAGAAAAATAAAATATTAAAAACATTTGCCTAGAGGACTGCTGTCAAAAAGTAGCTGTTTCAAGATGAAGATTTTTTAAAATAAAGATGATAGTACAACCAGATTCAAAAGTGAGACCTACTGGTTATGAAAAAAAACCGTACTAGTTTTTTTTTCATTAGAAGCGGTCACTTGAGGTTTAGACTTCGTAATTTCTTTATCCCGAGACCTAAGTTCAGAGGAGCGTTTGTATCTACTATTATCCCGCAACCTGAAACTTTTCTTTACAATTAGCTGACTAATCGTACAAATCCTACCTCTTGAAAAACCAGCGGCCAAAGACGGCAAAAAATAGAAAAGCTGCTCTTAATTGAAAACTTTCTCAATCGATAATTTAAATTATAAGTATGGTTAAAGAATTGACAACAAGCTTCTAATATTTAAACAATTCTGCAAACTCACCTCGTCCTATTCCGAGTGCTCTTACCAAATTCAGATTTACAATTAAAGCTAAAATCTCTCTTAGAGAACGCTCTAGAATGTTCTGGAGACAAGCTTCTCTTCCAACCCTGACGATCCTAAAACCAAATTTTGCCAGAAAGAAATGTTTTATTCTTTTAGAAAAAGGATAAATTCCATTAAGTTTAAAGTTTGTTTCACACCGTATTTATGTACGCTTTCTAGCAGGAAGTTTTGATAAAGCAATAAAAGGCAAAAAAATAATTTCTCAGTTCAAGAATAAGCGAAAAAAAACAAAAATGATAAAGATAATTATAAAACCTCTAACTGCGCAGATAATCCACCGACTCTATTAAATCTGTCATCGCGCCAGGAATCACTAAAAGTGGCTAATTATACGTGACCATATAGGTATTAACCAAACAACGAATTATTTAAGCACTTTTTACAACAGTTTCAAAAAAAACTTAATAGAATTCGAGGTGCATATGAAACACTTGCGGTGAAAAATAAATTACGTTTCTAAGCAGGCGGAAAATAAAAAAACCTCTGATTTGACAAGCGCCAAGAATCGTCAAGACCGTATTTGTCGCAAAGATTTTCAAGAGGTTCATAAGCTGTGGAAGTGGGATATCTCTGATAGACAGGATCGCTTGGTCCCTGCGACCAACCGGAGTTACCAAAATCGTTAAAATTTCTATCCATAAAACAAATTGTGAAACAAACAGAGTTTACAGTCTGAAAGCGATTCAGCCATCAGATTAGCCATAAAGCACCAGAAGAGAGAAAGCAAAATAAAACGAAAAAAAATGTTTCACGCACAACGCATAGTTACACTTTTCGGAACTTGTAACTTTTCAAAAATGGATAAAAATAGCTAACAACCAACTCTGACAGGTATCAGTAAATGAGTGGTGCTGCTCTTCGACAACTCAAAGATGTTCAAAATGGCCCAAATCTTAGGTTACCAGTCCGCCCTAAAACCATCAACTATTTTTGTGCATTAACCTTCCTGATATTTTCTGAAGAGTAAATCACTTTGTTTTAAAAGTTTGATGTGCATTCCTGAACAGTAAAAGCCTAATAAATATAGCATAAAAAAATTTACCTCACTTGAAAACCTTAATCAAAAAAAGAAAAATGTAGCCAAGAGAGAAAGAAAAAAAGCAATATTAATATAGAAACTAATATTTTTTAATTTTCGTTTCCGTTTTCACTAAATTAAAACGGTCTCATTTGAGCATCAATAACTTGGATTTTTAAATTGGCAAAAGACTGTGTAATACGAAAACGATGAAAACTTGACATATTTAAAGAGCCGGCCAGAGAACGTTCCGTTATTGACGAGGAACAGCAAACCAATGCTAACAACATCAACAAATCTTAAACTGGAGAGTTCAAGAAAACAGCAACAAATAAGCTAAAAAATTACAAACATAACAGCTAACAATACTACATACAAAATGGCGGGCACGGAACTCAACAATCTCAACTTTGCTAAACAGCACTCGAAATTACACATCCCCGCTGGAACAGTATTTGTGCATATAACGAGAAAGATACGTAGAAAGGCAAATACTGGCAAACATACAAACGCTGCAAGACCATCTTTTATAAATTCACCTCGGCACAGCACTCTATTCTCAGCCGTGCCAATTCAACAAGTTGCATCAATTTTACATATCCTTCAACGACATGAATGATGTCGTAAAGCAGAAAGTTCTTCCTGAATTTTAAAATACAGTAGCAAATAACTGTTTGCTCAAGTTTGAAACTGTAGCCTTCCAGTTGATCCTGAAGTCGATTTTAAAGTTACTGCAAGTACAAATTTGTCACAGAAACCAAAAAAAAAAAAAAAAAAAAAA